CGAGGTCTCAACACCCTGGACTTAGTGCTCTCTGACTTCACTGGTACTGTGACCACCGGTATCTCGCCGCCGATAGGAAGGTCAGACCATTGTGTTGTCCACGCTGTGCTCGCTCAAGCCCCGCTAGAAAATGAGCCCAGCACACGGAGGCGTGTGTGGCGATATGGCCAAGCCGACTGGAACAGACTGCGTGCCCACTACCGTCGCATTGCCTGGGCAGCTGAGTTTCCGGAGGACCCAGAGGAAGCATGCAGCCTTGTTACTAGGCACATCGTGTCTGGGATGCTGCAGTTTATTCCCCACAAGATGCTGGAAACAAGGCCGTCCGATCCGAGCTGGTGGACACCAGAATGCACTGAGGCTCAACGTGCCAAAGAGAAAGCATGGAAGGCCTGGCGTCACCAGGGGCCCAGCGAATGCCTGAAGCAGTCGTCCATGACAACTGTCACTCAATCTATTACAACCCAACATCGTGCACAACAAGCTGAAGAGCAGACAGTCCGAGAGCGTCTCACACGTGGTTCCATGAGAGACAAGGACTGGTGGAGGAATGTCAAGCGCGCCGCCGGTCTGGGTAGGACTACAGACGTGCCAACACTCACTGATGCGGACGGGCACGAGCACAGTACATCGAAAGCCAAGAGCGAGTGCCTTGCTAGATTCTTTGCTGAAAAATGTAGCCTTGGGGATAATGACATCGACAATGCTGAGTTACCAGCAACACCCCGCACTACCACTCCGGGCCTGCAGCGCATCCGCTTCCGCGTCTCTGAAGTCCAACAGTGCCTGAAGCGTCTCAACACATCCAAATCCACTGGTCCAGATGAGATCCCAGGACGAGTACTCAAGGAGTGTGCAGCTGAACTAGCACATCCGCTGGCTAGATTGTTTCGCCTGTGTTTTGCAAATGGAGTCCAGCCACAATCATGGAAAATTGCCCGTGTCGTTCCAGTGCACAAGAAAGGACCCAAATCCATGATGAAGAACTACCGGCCTATATCTCTCCTGACGATCATCTCTAAGATCATGGAAGGTATCATCAATCGGCAGCTTGTGAATCACCTGGAAACCCATCAACTCTTCTCCTCGTCCCAGTTTGGCTTCCGACGTGGACTGGGCACAAGTGACCTACTGACGGCTCTCCAGCATTCCTGGGCCACTACCCTGGCTGGCGGCGGTCTTGTGCATGCCCTGGCAGTTGACATTGCCGGGGCATTCGACAAGGTTTCCCACCCAGGTGTCCTTGCGAAGGCACAGCAATGTGGCATCCACGGCCAACTCCTGGCTTGGCTAAGGTCGTATCTCCATGACCGAAAACTGACTGTAGTTGTTGGCGGTCAGTCCTCCCCACTGTTCCCGATCAAGGCTGGAGTGCCCCAGGGTAGCCTCCTAGGTCCCACTCTTTTCCTGTTATATGTAAACGATGCAGAACAGTGTTTAGCCCCAGGCTCCAGTCTAGCTGTCTATGCGGACGATACAACACTCTATGCCATAATCAGAAACCCAGATACCATCGCTGCTGCTTGCAATAGCCTCCAAGCATCTATTGACCGCCTGCAGACTTGGGGTGCCCAATGGAAGATAAAGTTCGAGCCATCAAAATCTCAGGCAATACTCCTTGACCGCCACAGACCATCCCTGGATGTCCCACAGCTCACATTTGATGGCATGCAGGTGCCTGAGAGCCCTCAGCTCAAGCTGCTAGGAGTGTTATTTGACAGTACTCTCTCCTTCCGGGCCCACATCCGTTCCCTTGCCGTTAGAGCCAACCAGCGCTCCGAAAGGCATCTCCGATCCTGGACAGTGCAGGGCGCCTAACTGTGTACAAAGGATTTGTACGGCCTATAATGGAGTACGCCCCTCTCGTCTGGGCAAGTGCGGCACATTGTCACCTCCATCAGCTGGACCTGGTCCAGCGTCGAGCCATGAAGGTTATTGGCCCCTCATTGCTCCCCAGCCTGGCAATCCGAAGGCATGTTTACGGGCTGTGCTACCTGTATAAGCTGCAATGCATACCAGGTCCAGCTCTGCTCACCAACATGGTACCTCCCCCAGCAAGAGTTAACGCTGCACCCCGGACGCGCCGGCAACGCCAGTCCCTCGGTGGCCACTCTTTCCAACTCGCAACTCCTCTGCCAGCCTCCAGTCCAGAGTTCATCCGCCGCTCCTTCCCATACTTTGTCCTGGAGAGCTGGAACACACTGCCTGCCCCAATCCTCGCCGAACGCCCAACTCTCAAGAAATTGCCGACATTCAAGACCAAGGCCTACCATCACCTCCGCCAGACCAATTGGCTATGGGCCACTGAAGTCCACCAGCACTGAGAATAACCGGTTGTCTCTATTATTATCATTTTCTGTCTCTCTCTCTCTCTCTCTCTCTCTCTCTCTTCCTCTCCTGGGAAGTTCTTCATGCTCATTCTCCCTTTCTCTGTCCATTTCCCCTTCCTGATGCGTAGACCAACTGTTGAACCCGAGACCACTAGGTCGGGGGAGGTTGACCTACCTCATCGGCACGCATGCCACGCTCCTCTGTGTTGTCAAAGTTCGCTTGTCCACTTTTGTCTACCTCCCCTTTTATGTTGCTGGCCAGTGCTTTGTAGTAAAAAAAAAAAAAAAAAAAAGTCTAGGCGAAAATTTGTATTTATACCGTATGTGAAGAGCGCGCACTTGCGCCCATGATCATCCTCTACACTCTACAATATTTATTATCGTCATCATCAGCTGAGAGCGCATTGTGGTGACGAGTTTCAATAAATTGGAGCTTGGCCGAAAGCTCTGTCACAATATTTAACTGTGATCTTTATGACCACTGTCTTAACATGTATCAGCCAGCATTTCTGCCAGCTAGCTGGCCTCTGCGTACACCGCAGACACACCCACGCACAACAGAAAGATACGGATCACAGCAGTAGTGTGGTCTTTGTTCACTCACGGTTGAAGATGGAAAAGGGTCTGACTTTACCGTAGTGTATACAGGAGCAAGAAGAAGGGCATGCCACCTCACACAAATACATGTACACGTATGTACCAGACCAACATGATACAAAAACTGAACCACTGTGGTGAGTGGGGCCGTCGGATAATTAGCCAACCTGAAGCTGGCTGAAAAAACCTCAGGCCCCCGGCGGAGGCACAACCCTTAGGAAAAATCGGTTAGCATAACCCCATAAGATAAGTGAACAAAACGTAGCGAGCAGGACCTATCCAGAAGTGAGAATAAAGGGGAGGGCGGGTGGGAAACTACAACGAAAAGAGAAAGACCACGATGAAGAGAAAAGTTTGAGAACACTGACAAAAACCAGCTGACGCAATCCTGGTGCCGTAACTATGGTGAAAATGCTGGGAAAAAAATACATTTTTCGTTTCATTCGCTACGCTCAGCCACCACAAAATAACACTTTACTTCTATTTTGGATACACATACTTCCAAGAACGTGACGTGTACTTAGTACATGCACAGTACACGTAACAAAGGTCGGAAGGGAAACGTCGTTTCCCTTACGACCTCTGCATGGTTGGAATGTTTGGCGGGAGATTAGCAAGTGATTTGTTGAAATGAGTAACAATGCTGAAAAACTATTCTGGACGGCTATGCGTCCTTCGCAAACATCATAGAACGATCTGTGGCAGTTTCTGAAAGCAAATTTCTAAGTCATAGTAGAAGGTAGTACCGTTCTCGATATGACTACCAAGACTAAGCTTTCCCCAAATCGGCCCGTTTTTTCGCCTACTCGGCTTTTCGCTCCGCTCAAAAACACATCAGATTCGGCTGCAAAATCAGCTGATTGTTCGAAAATCGGCTGCAAAATTGGAATATATTGGAAAATCGGCTAAAAGAATTGTTGGCATATTGCCTTCAATGGGTGAGATATTGGTAGATTTGGGTAGATTTTCAGGGGATTCGCGAATTAACCCTTCAAAATCGGTAAAAAGCTTCTCGTTTCCGGGGAATGTTTCGGCTGGTCGATTTGGGGATTTTACTAGTAGCGATCTTCCTAAAGGATAATGTTTATTTGAGAGGTCAAAGGGCACGAGACACACGACCTCAATGTTCTAGTACCACAAGTACTGATGTAGAGAGCTCTAGTGGTCATGCTTGCAGCAGCATCATTCGTTCGTAAACGCACTTTGCAACAACATTTGGTAGATTTTCGGCGATTCTCAAAGGAACCGTCCAAAATCAGCGAAAAACTTAGCGAGTTTTCGATAAGTCCCGTTTTGGGCCAATTTTTCGGCCGGCCTATTTGGGGAAGCCTATCCAAGACTCTGGCAACTACATTGGACATGTATGTCATTCGTGTACTTCAAAGTACTATAGCTATGGGACCACCAGATTGAGGTTTTGAAATACAATCCACACACCACAAACAAAGCCGGTCGAGGCAGCTCGAAGCAGTGAATGCCAAATGCTGCAGTCTGACGGTCGCTGAAATGCGTGAAACTTGAAGTTACAGCTATAAAGCTTTTCACCTCCATTGTATATGTACACATCAAATGTATGCCACTGTTCAATCAGGTTGCACAGCCTTTCGTTTGCAATTACGAGCCTGTTTCCATGCATGATAATTTCCAGTTGGCATATGACAGAGGCACATTATGCAACTACTTCTCACGTACATAATGCCGTTGTTTCTTCTTTTTTTTCTTTTCCTTTTGGCTTATCATGTTTTATCGGCAACCCAGAAGATGTTTATGAAAACATACTCATGTCCAGTCTGTACAGATAGCACCTCCAGCGGGTCAGTGACCGCATATTTTACATTGGGCCCAATTAGCTTTTCTGCAAACCAAATGAATGCAAATGCAGTAATTTGACCACACACAAAGCACTTTACATCTGCGCCTTTGATCCTAGAGGGAGGTGGCGTTCCCACGCCGGATGCGGAAAACTCGGCTTCCAGCCGAGTCTCACGCGAACCGTGAAATTTTCTCATTCTTGCTACAAAAACATAACCATCCTCTCATTGGATAGGCGAAGAGAACTCACTGGTGACGTACCTGAACAGTTGACGTCGTAATTACCTGCCAAACATGGACAATTGTAGGACCCATTGGTGTTTGCACAAGCACGATTCTCACTATTGATCTCACCGCTACACACGTCAGCTTCATCTGTACATTCATTGATATCTGTAGGGGATATATTACACGGTCCTACATCAGTACTTGCTATACATGTAAATGTACATCGTTTCTTTTAGGAATGAATCATGGTACCTAAACTGTGAATGTCTTGCCAGGTTTGATGAATATAAATTCTCTCTTGCTATGTGTCACTGGTGTGTGAACCTGCAAGATTGACTAATTTTGTGTCGTCATCACAGATTTATCTATGAACCTATTGTACTTCTATCTCAAAATCTCTTTTGGGTGTGGAATCGCATCAAATGCACAGCTTTGTATTTTAAACACCCACTCTCAGACAAGGCAATTGTGTACCTTCGCATGACAATCAAGAGTAGCCATCGGTGCAAAACATTGATAAGATCCAATTGTGTTTTGACAATAGCTGCGAGCGGTGCCGTTACTGAAATTACCCTCCTGTCCAATCATCAGAACTCACAGTGGGCCGAGCACTGTCATGCAAAGTGCCACTTGTACGTGCACACCGTCTGCATGCTCTACTCCATGACAATACCCCATGCATGTACTATTAGCATTATAATCTCGAGATAGCGCACACCTCCTCCTTTTGCTTGCCGTGAGGCATGCTCGCCATCTTAGTAGTTTTTATTATTTTACTAGGGGAGTCCCAACAGGCTACTGCGTTTTTACTGGGAACCCTAGGTGAAGTTTAACCATATTAATGAACAGAGCAAGAGAGTGGGCCTGTCGACAGTCAGCTGTAATAGAGTTCCATCTGCCTGCCGCCAGAAAAGAAATAGAGCGCATGCCGTGCTGCATATAAACGAGTGGGAGAACTAAAGCTCTTTGTGCCTTGCCCCGGGTGCATGCCTGGTGACCAGGTGCAGTTGCCCGAAGCTGGTACAAAGACTGAAGAAAAGGACTAGCAAGATGCTGGGCTAAGCAGCGGTACACAAAAACATAGAGCTTGAGGCTAATACGCTGTTCCAAAGAATAGAGGTGATATAAGCGAAGAACTAGTTCAGTGGGTGTGGTACGATCGAGTCCAAACACTCTCCTCATTGCTGTGACTAACGGTCACAAACCTATTGTACAAAGTTGTGCTTAAACAATGTAAATTTGAACTCGGATGATGAGCCAATATAATGTAGTTATGATGAAGAAAGGAAAAGGACAAAATGTTACGAGTCCTTGTCAGTTTTGTGCCATTTTGTTTGTCATAACTCGTAACATTTTGTCCTTTTCCCTTCTTCATTAAACAATTTAGTTAAGCATTACTGGCATAGTCTAGGGTAGACTGGATAATAGACAAGTAGAATGTTCCCTTTGCATCAGTTGTTAAATTTCTACGGCCATGTCGGAAAGCAGCAACTTTAGCAAAAACTGAGTTACACGATTTCTGGACCTGTGGATGGAAGGTGAGATGGTCGTCTATCAATAAACCAAGGTATTTGGCAGTGCTCGTAGGGGTAATAGCCTTTCCTTTACAGGTTAAGGGCCGTGGCAACTGCGTTGCTGGAAGGCGGGACCGCTGCAGGATTAGAAATTGCGTCTTGTCGGGGTTCATGATGAGCCCCTTCAGATCTAAATGGACCTCCAGGGCAGTTAGATCGTACTGGAGATCCTGTAACATAGCAGGAAGGTCCAGTCCGATGATGAAGAAGGCAATGTCATCAGCATAGAGTTGTGACACGCTGTGCTTGAGAATTTCCGGCACCTTTCGAATATAAATGCAAAAGAGCAGGGGACCGAGGATCGACCCTTGCGGGTACAAAGACACAGTCCCACCATGCTCGCCATGCTCGCCATTGACTATGACTTGTTGACTGCGGCATGACAGATAATCTGCAAACCACTGCAATACAGTGCCCCGTAACCCAACATTAGCTAGCTCATGGACTAGCTGCTGATGTTGAACGCGGTCAAATTTCTTACTCATGTCTGCAAACACTATTGCGCATCGTTGACCATCGTCCAATGCTCGGTTCCATCTATCAATGGAGAGAGCAAGGGCATCCTCACAGCTGTGGTTGGAGCGATATGCAAATTGTTCCGGTGGAAGGGCAGAAAGCTCATTGTGATCACTAAAGAACTCCACAACCTGTCGATGAACAATTTTCTCCAATACATTGGAGGCAAGTGGGAACAGAGATATGGGACGTTAGTTTGTAGCTGACAGTTTGTCTCCGGATTTGAATAGAGGACACACATGTGCGTGCGTGTACGCTGTAGGAAACACACCCGAGAGGAGGGACTGGTTGATGATGGACGCTAGCGGGGCTGCAATAGACGCCTTACATGACTTAAACATGCATGGAGGAATGCCATCCGAACCAGCAGACTTGTAGGAGTTAAGATTGGTCAGTATGTCCATAACTGTCTCCGCATTTATTAAGGCGAAATCAGTCAGGGTGCTCGTTGTGGCAGCATCTTTCGAAGCAGGTATCTGCAGTGGTTGTGGCCGGTTTGGATCATGAACAACTGCTGCAAACGTATCTGTGAGTTCTGGAAGTGGTGCGGCGGTAGTAGACTTTACAATGGCTCGGCCAGATAAGTTGTTTAGTCGGGACCACTATCCACGGGGATCACGCTTCATATTTCTTAGCTTATATTATCAGTACGGTCCTATTTTAAATGAGCTTGTAGCTAGGTGGGGTGCACGTTTTTCATAAACAATAATGATTGATTATGCTGAAACATGTACTTCGAAGTAGAGAACCACAATACATAATGTGTTGCTACTCTTGTACCTTGACACTGAGGTCCGGCAAAGCCTCTTCTGCACCGGCATTCAAATGATCCTTCAGTGTTTGTACAATTGCTATTCTCAACATCAATGCAGACGTCCTTGTTCGTCTTGCATTCGTCAATGTCTGTAGAAAATAAAGAAAAGCAATGTCATTTAAAATTGCTCTGTGAAATACGCTAGACAGCTGGATAATATGAATCGACAGTTGTCACATCTTTTCTAAATCAATCTACATGTACTAAGGACCTGGTCACACGGAGGAAAATGTGGAAAAAATCCGTGGTTTCCATGGATATTAATTTTGTCGCTAAACGGGAAATTTGAGCACTATCACACTAACTGATGGCCTAACTCTTTCTTCTTTTGAAAAAGGTGTCAGCACCAACTCAATCCACACGGTCAAGTAAAGCCAAATTAGGACTGGAACGTTTCGTCCCTTTTCATCATGGGTGTTAGTACTGGGAATATTGGAAAAATGTCAAAATACAGCAACTTATAGAGCTACAGCAAAAGCATACGTCCTCGCCCTATAAGTTGCTATATTTTGACATTTTTTCATTATTCTCTGTACTTAACCAGAAGGAGAAGGGAACGAAAACGTTCGTTTGCTAAACTGGCTTTACTTGACTGCGTGGATTGCGTCGGTGCTGACACTTTTTTCGAAATTGGATACGCCGCAAATATTTTAATTCTTCTTTCTTTCTTGTTCCCCCCCCCCCTGGTGCCCGTAGTGTGCAAGTATACCGAGACCTTTGGTCGGGGGGGGGGGGTCCACAATGCCCACCTACACAGCTGCGCTAGTGGATACTAGTAGTCAGCCCTGACACAATAGTTGTTTTTTCTGCCAACCCTTACGTTCTGTGTTCTAGTCGTTTCTTCGTTCTCCCTGCGACTTTGTTATCATTCTTGTCATTATTTTTTGTCTCGAGCCGGGTTTGTGTTCTTTGTAAACAATAAATAAAGAGTCCACTCAATGAGAATCAACTCGAGGATGTGCTTTTCCGCAGAAGACTATTATCATCCGCAGCTTCCACGGTAGTTGTTTGGGTTTCCTTGTTTTGCTATTGCTTTCATGAAGTGGAGCGACACTCTAAAGCCTGCGCTGATGCAGCTCTGGCCAAGGACTGGGGCTGACAGACTGGCAGAAACGATCGGTTACGAAACAATTATTATAGCTCGTGTGGTAGAGATTGTTTTCATCGTACAAGTCCAGTAAGACCCTTTTGAAAAATACAACAAAATTATTCACGGTGTATAATCTGAGGACTGTTCCCTCAGTGTGACCGGCCTGAGGCATTCATTTTGAAATGCGAACTTGGAGGCTTGTAGTACACTTTAAATAGGAGGAAATAGAGTACCATAAAATGCCATCCGGATATCTTGGAACGTCTTTCTTCAATATTGTCCATCTGTTGCTGTCTTACCTGAACAATGTTGATCATACTTTCCTTCCACACATGGACATTGGTAGGATCCGTTTGTATTTCGGCAGATACGGTTCTCACTATTCAGTAATCCACTGCACACGTGATCCCCATACATACATTCATCAATGTCTAACAAACACGGAAAACACAAGGTTCGGGCGTCAGTTCTGTGCATTTCAGAGAAAATACCTATAATACCTGATTCCAGGTTTATTTCCTTACTTTTGGCATTTCCAATTTGTACTACATAGACACGGGACGCAAGACACTGTTGTCCCCTGGGGTTGACCACTTACTATCATCACAGCTTCCAACCAAGAACCACATTATTATTATTATTGTTATCATGATGTTTTGAATGTGATGGTATGGGCGTTGGGGCGAAGAGCGAGTCAGTGTGGACCGACATGGAAAGAAGGAAGAGCACCAAAAGAAGTTTCGTTCCTTTACATTTGAATGATTTTCCGGCATTGAGAACATGAATCCCTTAGCCTTGGTGCCTGACTGAGCACGTGCTGAGCGCGATGTGCACGATACCATCGGTCCAATCTAGATTTTGCAATCGAAACCCCACTGCCTTCTCTGTAGACATCGATAAGTCAGCTGGTCTCTGTAAATAAAATTAGGCAAGCATCAGAGTCTCAGAGATGCATGCGACCAGCTCTGTAACCAAGTACAGGATGTACTGGCTGCAGAAATCCACCACGGGAACCATCAAATTATTACTAACCCTGGCATGTTCCGCCAGCCTGTGAAGACGAGGAGTAGCATACGCAGGAGTAGGAACCATAGTTGTTGAAACATTGGCCAGAATCAACTCCACTGTAAGGATTGCATGGATGTGGAGTTTCTGTACATTCATTTACATCTACACAAGTACCGATATTATAGGTATACGCAAGCATCAAGAGGATAGTGAACACTTATTCGCAACTCAGAGTTTCAGACATTCTTGAGACGATCACCGCTCACACCTATCTGCATTTTTAAGCCCAGCGGCCTTCGTGATCTCGGCACCTATGCCCGCGACAGAAAACAATGGAGTAACATCTGCTCAGCCATTTAGTCTAGTACTGCTCTTCTTAAATTTGACCTTTATTACAAGACTCTTTTTTTCTTTTTCTTTTCGTTCTCCCACTCTCACACACACATGCTCACAGTTAATTCTGCGTCGTAAGTCCCATTCGGGACGGATACGAGAAAAATAATAATCACCGCTGCTTTTCCCTGTCAGAGTAAATAACACACTTTTTTGTTCTGCAGCGTCGGGAGTTGTGTTGGAGTAGAAATGTCTGACTAGACGTCGCGACGTGCCTGCTTTCCTGATCAGGTATGAGGTTGGACGTATTTCAGCATGGTGGAGTGGAAAAATTCGAAAATGTTAATTTCAAGGAAACCCAATGCTGTAGACAGCAAAAATTTTTGGCCATGCATGCCTCACCAGTACATCTACGAGCTTTAAGTAAGCTAAGCTACCAGTCGGTGGCTAGTTGAGTACGTAGCCCTTTTATCATCGCTTGTAAATTGGCTTTTTCAAAACGATTATTTGTCAGGGGCGATGGCTCTCGTCCTCTGGGATGCTTGCGTGGCTAAGCGGTACTTCGTCAGGACCTCCTCCAAGGTGAGGTAATGTTGGCTTGATGGAAGTTTGTTCTTAGCTTGTTCGTGTACGCTGTGCCTGTTTGTGGACCCATATCTTATGTGATGTTCCGACCATATCTGAGGGGTATGCCAGTTTCATGCTTGAGAAACGTTGTCAAGGGCTTGACACAGTCGGTCTGCACGTATTCTGAATTACCTGCAATATTTGGGCGAAATCGGAGAGATCAACTTGAGCACATTGTCTGGTTATCTCAGACATAGTCTCTTAAAATGTCACAAACAGAAGGATCATTTTTCCTTTTTTATTATTCTGCTGTTGAAAAGTTACAAAATTCCGCTATTGCATGCGTATTAGCACCTCATTGACCAAGCTCGTTCCTCATTATTCATTCCATTTGGCCTAAGCGAAGACTGGCCAAGCTTGCTTGGCGTGACAACGCGAATAGGTTGATAATACTATAAATAATAATAATAAACAGAAGGACGAACAGTTGCGATGTCGTAACTCTGAGTTTAAAGAATGTAATCGATCATTCGATGTCCTAAGAAGAAGATCCGAGTCAGTTCCTGTGACTCAGAGTTACGAAATCGCAAATGTTCGTCCTTCTGCTTGTGTATTACGCTCTTTGCCTTCTGTAAATCGCGGCCTCTAAGAACGGTGCATGAACCCCACACAGTTGACATTTCATCATGTTCCGTTCATGAAGTTAACCAATAGCTTAATCATTTCCACTGAAGGGTGGGACGCGAAAATGAAGACTCTGGAATACGATCATCTTCAAACGTACATTGTAGATTACAATAATAATAACACAGATACGCGTACAACATGCCCAGCCGTGCTACACATGCTTCCGCTGCTGTTATCTAGCTCTGTCCATTATGAATGTCAATATCCGGCAGTTGTGGCGACTCCTTCAGATTATCTGCCGCCATCCATTGCGATCCGCAGCAAACTGTCTTAGGTCGTCCAGATGGATTCGGCTCGAGAAGCCCGGATTGCCTCTGCTGAAATTATACTTGTATACCTAGATCTGGACTCATACTGTTCATTTCTCTACATAATTCAAAACGGGAAAATGGGACAATGATTTGTAAAAATAACTTACCCTCGCAAAACAGAGATATGAATGGCTCAGTACCGACCAGAGGTGTATGACATCCATTTCGGTTCCGTATTGTAACTTTGATACGGGTACGTCTCCAAATGGGTTGTACTATCCTTAGTTCATCGTAATATTTCGCTCCATTATTATAACGATGCGGCACATGAGAAAATCGTACAGATGTCCAATGTGACCACATCCCTCCATTGTGCTGTTGACGCATTACACTGAAGTCACACAGACCTAGTGACGCGAACGAAATCTTACGAGCTACCAAGTTGCAATTTCCAGGATACTCGAAAACTACTGTGTATGGTGTACCGGGCGACAGCTGCGTTCGCGGTGTGGTTCTAGTAGCAGTAGCAGTAGTGTAAGAGACGTAACTCTGAATGATATTGTCATCGTTTGTAACCTGTTGAGTGTATCGATTGACGGCTCCACATGATGTTTCTTGGGCACAAGTTGAGTATATCCATGAGGCCAGTAAGCAGAATAGTACACCGGTTCTCAATAGATCTGTAATCAATATGAAGATATTCACACAATATGATCAGTTGTCTTGCTGAGCGAAATACCACTAATCAGTGGAACGTTCGTGAACATTCTCCAGTTCGCTGTGCCTTGATTCTGAATTTGGAAACCAGCGCGGGGAAGTTGTCTTTCTTTCTGCTGACTATTCAAACTCATACAAAAGCCTGGCGACCACGGCCTTGTCAATCTCGACCAGCGGCAGCGGCGTGTGAACATAACTTCAAGTACAAACATTAATCAATGAATTCCAATGTTATGAAAGAATGTATTGGGTCCTGAGGGAATACCTGTTCAAATATGGGAGAAATTCACTCTGTCAATATTGCGCCACCAGCACAGAGTTTGGTGCCATGATGCTTTCTCCCTTCTTTCCAGTCATGCTCTACTACACTGGGATTTCCCTTTGCTGGCTGAATAACGCTTCATGAGATTTCCTGAGGTTTTCGCCCCTAACGTACTACTTGCACGAGTATGTTCGCTGACCAGTAGCACCGCCCTATTTCCACACGTACACTTCAGACATACGGATTAAAGTTCAAACCAGCACGAAATAATTAGGTCGGCTCGCAAACACTCCAGTACTAAATATAGCCCTCCGCCTCCTGTGTACGTGAAGCAATGTTCTAGAGAATTGACCATCTCTTTTTCTGAAGGGATGCCATCTGGGCCATGCTCTTCTGTAGAAGCAGTAGGTATGAACCAATTCTTCTCAGCCTCCCGTCATTTCAAGAATTGAACCCGTCTAACATTAGGTTTACTACGTCGTGTGCGTATTCAGAACGGGGCAAAGGTGTGAATAAGTCTTCCAAGTCTATTTCGCTATTTACAAATGCGTGGAACTTCTTTGCAAGCTGAGAACAAGTAGTACAGACCATCCCTAGTTGCCTTCTTTTGGTGTGCATGATCGATTACAGACCTCAACGGGCTATGCCATGTATTACCATTTGCCACTGGCCCTATGAGCAACTAAATGAACTTACTTTTGTCATACGGTTTCATGTTATTATTCATCCTTGGGATATGGCCGGTGGTGTAGCGAACTCTGCACAGAAGACGATCTCTTGTTGACAATACAGCATGTGCAAGAAATGCCAAGCATGATCACGGTGCTGTCTATGTTTTATTGTTACTGTAGGAGCAAGGAAAAGGAGACGACCCCTGACTCGGATGGCCCTCTTGTGCCAACCATGTATAACCATCTGCTTGGTGTCTAAACACATTATACGTGCTTGCTTCGAGCACGTTTTCCTCCAAATGGGCAGTAATTCGGAACAGGTGTAATCAACAAATGCGCCGCAATTCGGAACAGGTGTAATCAACACTGAATGGACCGCAATTCGGAACAGGTGTGGTCAACAAATGGGCTGCAATTCGGAACAGGTGTAATCAACAAATGGGCCGCAATTCGGAACAGGTGTGATCAACAGATGGGCCGCAATTCGGAACAGGTGTAATCAACAAATGGGCCGCAATTCGGAACAGGTGTAATCAACAAATGGGCTGCAAATCGGAACAGGTGTAATCAACAAATGGGCCGCAATTCGGAACAGGTATAATCTACAAATGAGCCGCAATTCGGAACAGGTGTAATCAACAAATGTGCCGCAATTCGGAACAGGTGTAATCAACTGAGACCTAACCATACCAGTAAAATTTAATAGATTCGTTTGCCCTGTCTGTGCGTGTGTGTGTGTGTTTGTGTGTGTGTGTGTGTGTGTGTGTGTGTGTGTGTGTGTGCGCGCGTGTGTGTGTGTGTGAACCCTCGGCATTGACTGTGCCGTCGCGAACATCATCCGGGAATATCTACTGCGTTGGCTTGGCCATGTTGGCCGGATGAACGACGACTGGATGCCGAAGCGAGTTTAGTTTGGGGAGCTCCCTGCAACACGCCCTCGCCATGGTCCACGCAAGCGGTAGCGTGACGTCATCGTGGATGATCTCCGCTCAATCATCCCCCTGTGCCTTCTGACTGCTGGTGTGATGCCGCCCAGGATCGCTCTGCCTGGAGGCAGATTGCTCATCGTCGTCCTCCCGCCCGTGCTCTTCCTGATCCTGACTCTGGCTTTCGCTGCGCATGTGGAAAGGTCTGCCGTCGTCCCGGGGACCTCAAGCGCCACGCTCCGTACTGCAAAGCTACAGTCCATTTCAAAACTATAGACGCGTACCTAGGGAAAAACCGTTATGCCAGCATCTATACCACATAATATCCGTGATCACTTTGTGCATACATTTTCCAAATTGGGCGTCTGTTATCCAATCTTTTAGAAACTATATGAGAGTAATTGTGGAGCGATCCTGAGCAATATTCCGAAAACTATTCTCAAAAAGTTCCATCCAAATTTGAAATATTTCAAAAACCCTACGCGTCTATAGTTTTGAAATGCACTGTACCAGATAGTCCCTTCGCTGTCATTGCCATCGGCAATGGGCACGTTCAAGGTTCAAGGTTCAAGGTGTGTGTGTGTGTGTGTGTGTGTGTGTGTGTGTGTGTGTGTGTGTGTGTGTGTGTATGTGTGTGAACGGGCTCACTGGTGGGAGCATTGATTGATATAGCTTTGGTATTAATGTTGTCAAGCTGACGGTCTGCCCAAGTGTACCCTATTTGGGGGGCTCTCTGCAACTCGACCTCAGCACGGCCGACGCAAGCGCTGGCGGGATGTGGTTGTGGACGACTTCAACCGCATTCATCCACCTGTCCTGGAGAAGGAATGGTTCGACACTGCCTAGAACCGCTTGGAGTGGAGGGGGGTCATCCACCGTCGTCCTCAACCTCGTGATGTCTCCGCCGAGCCAGAGTATTGTTGTGCTTGAGGGAAGACGTGTCGCCGCCCCGGCGATCTCAAGCGCCACGAACCTTTCTGCCAGTTGCCGCCGAATTAGTCCTTTCGCGATCATTGCCTACGGCATTGGGCAAGTTCAAGGTTCAAATGGGGAAAGACAAAGCGAAGTGGGGCTCACCCGAGGACAGGAGCTCGAGACGCAGCACTACTGAAGAGTGAAGTAGACGAACCACACACTGTATGCAGACCAACCGCACAAACCAAGCAGGGTGCAAACGCACACAGCTAAATCAGAGTGAATCTCACACGGCTTCCAGGTGTGTGTGTGTGTGTACATGTGTATGTGCGTGTGTGTGTACATGTGCGTGTGTGCGCGTGAGTGTGTATATTTGTGTGCGTGTGTATACGTGTGCGAGTGTCCGTGCGTGAGTAAGCACGTGTATGTGTGTGTTTGCCACGGAGCGAGCGAGCGAGTATGTGTGTATGTCGGAATGTTCGTCTACGCATGTTTGTATACATGTGTGTATGTGTGTGTATTTAGTCAGGATCGTGGATCGAAATTTCTAGTGTGACGCACTCATAGGTTCACGCAGAGTTGTCATTAGCCAGCATATTCAGAATTATTCCCGTAGCTATGCAGAAGACGTTACTTCAGTAACGTCTGGCGCTAGCCAGGGTCCACACAGCTTTAATTTGGCGTTTGTTTGTTTGTTTGTGTGTTTGTGTGTTTGTGTCACGCCTGGCGCTATCCCGTATCTGTCCCGTACCGTACCGTACCATCAAACACAGCTGGCCACATACAGCTGGCTGCACTACTCAAATAGGGCTTTCAAACGCAAGATCATAACGTGAAGCAACTTGGAAGAATGAGTATGAATGCGAAGTGTATGGGGGAATGCATGTAGGGCGATAGTGCGGGTTCGAATCCCAAGTAATGCCTGAAAAAAGGAGGAAAATTGAAAATTTTATAACATCCCTATTCTTTTTTTGCCGTCATCAAGGCAGTAGATGGTGTCGTATCACCCTCGACCGTACCTGTCCCGTTGCTGTCCCGTACCGTACCGTACAATCAAAGACGGCTGGCCACAATGCATATTCAATTTTTTTGTATTTTCATGACGTACATGATTGAATCGGTTTATTAATTTTGCCCGTACAATTAAGAGGCTTCGTAGCTGGCTGAAAAAAACAAAAAAAACAAGGCAACGACACATTTCGTTTTTTGGCACCTATGATCAGGGGATGGCCCACGCCTGTTAAAAAAAACAAAAACAAAAATAAATGAGAAGTTGCGCGTTCAAACGAATGAAAAACGCAAAATGTTTTCACCTATGAGGCTATGATCAGGGGATGGCCCACGCCTGGTAAAAAACAAAAAACAAAAAAAACAATGAGAAGTTGCGTACAAATCATGTACAGACAGACTATGGATTGTTGTTGTTGTTGTTGTTGTTTTTTATTTGAATTCGCAATACCAAACGGGCAATAAGCCCAATTACATGGAAGCGAATAATTCGAACATAACAGAGTGGAAAACCGGAATCCGAGAAAATGATAACATGCAAAATCATGAAAAAGGGGGGGGGGATGAAGCAGAACAGTAGCCAAACACACCACGGATAGTTACCGAAAGCACTCTGCAGCAGCAAGGACCACAGAAGCATCAAAGTCAATGACTCTCTGGTGGGCATCTTGAGACCGTGGCCTTCGGTGACCACGGAGGCTGGTATTGGAGGCGCGAACAAGAGAAAAGGAAACCCTTGACCTAATAAATGCAAGAAGTGAGGAGATATTCAAATAGGGCTTTCAAATACAATATCATAACCTGAAGCACCTTGGAAGAATTAGTATGTATGCGAAGTGTATCGGGGGATGCATGCAGGGCGATATTATTATTATTATTATTTCACAATCACGATGACATAGTGCCAATAAGCATGTGATGTGGGCGATTTTAACCAGCCATGGTGATAGTGCGGGTTCGAATCCCAGGTTGTGTCTAAAAACAAAGTGTAGAAATTTATAAGAATTTATAATAATATATTATCCCTATGCTTTTTTTGTCTAGGTCATCAAGGCAAAAAAGCATAGCGTAGGGCCCTGAGCTTCCAAGCTTTCTCGTTTCCTAGTACACTGTATCGATGTTAGAGAGCTTTAGCCAGTGGTATTGAGGACTTTTTGAACAGCTGTAGTGGAAAATAAGCATGAAAGCATGTCCACACCGTCACATGGTGGTACACTTTGTTTTGTTGCTCCTCTGAGTTTCGTGGCAGAAGATTCAATCATCAGAAGAAAGTGGACGTTGATTAGACGGTGCTCGGGAGTATACATGTAAATTGCGCGATGTGTTAGAAATTGCAATGGTAAAAGTGCAAACACAGAAATGAAACATGCCCATCAGAAATAGGCAACATGGAAAAGAAAATGATGTATGTGCTTGTTTGATTGCAAAATAAGCATCAAGAGAGGAAATGATCCTCGGCGATTGGATGGAGTTAGAATTCATCGGTAGATAGTCGCAGGATCAGATTGGATTGGACATTTCCTGTGAAAGGTTAGTGGTGAACGAAAAGATGATCACTACTGCAAAAAGAAAATCTCATTGCTTTCATATGAATACCCTTTGCCGCGATTCATGTAAAACATTTCATTTATTCATGTAAATACTATTACACAAGGGTGAAGCTTTAAAAGGTCGCAATGCTATGGCAAGGGTCGAAGCCTGAAGGCCGCAATCTGTTCTACCTTTATATCGTTATCATAACATTGGGCATGACTGCCTGATTGACTTGCGATGTAGGATAAAACTAAAATTCAGAAGAATACTAAAAATACAATGCTCTAATCATGGTATTGAACGCAGCAGCTATACGAGTTTTTCGAATTATGCTTTCAAACTGATGTGCATAATGAATGGCACGAGAATACGTACATTGTACATTGTGAAGACTTCGAAAATTGGATATGATTATGATTGTGGCAAAATTATCGTAGCAGCAATGGAGGTACACACAGCACAAAAACTTAATTAAAACACCAAAACGTTAAATTCTGAAATGTATTAAAGAATCGACATGCAAACTGGCGGTATGTGCTCGATAACAGCAATTCGATAACAGTCGTATTTTCAAATTCGGGTCGAATTCTGCCAATGTTCTCATTATGCCAAATTTAATTTACCAATCCGTAGAGGGGCGAAAAAGGAAATATTATTTTCTTTCCTGCACATCTACTGGTTTGTATTACATATGTTGTGCATAGTCAATCTGCGATAGGGATCAATTCTTTGGGAAAGCAATCACCTCCTCGTATTCACGATCAATTGCATTTGTTGCGGTGCTTCGCCCGTGCTTGGTCGGTGGTGGTGCAGTTTCTTCATACACAGGAAAGTCATACACAGGATTGACTGTCATGTCAACTTGGCTGGGACAGCTGGAAGACGCTATGTTGCTTACGTTCGAAAATTCCGTTGTAGCCGTGTTATTGACCACCAGTTGAGTAGTACAATCGGATAACACGTACAGTTCACTTGGCGTCAGCGTTGCAGCATCCTCTTGACCTTGGCGTGCTTCCCATGTTGTTGTACCGCTACCTACTGCTCTGGTTGTGCATTGAGCTCGGGTTCTTTTCTTCGTCTTCAAACAATACACTAGAGTTATGACACCAAGAAGTACTGCAAGGACGGAAGTTGCTGCCACCAGAATATAGACCGTTGTGTGAGACATGGTAATCGTGCTCTCGTCCCCTGTTGTGATTGATCTAACAGTTGTAGTGCCTATACCTACAGGTAGATACATGAAAAACAAGATCATTAAAAAGTAAGTTTTTGAACAGCTGAAATATTCATCAGTTGAGGTCGTTGGCAAAGGGAAACATTCGAACAAATATTGACGGTCACACCAGGACTCGATCTTTTTTGTATTTCGTATGAAATAGAAGGTGCAGTGAAAAGTGTGGTAGTTACTACTAGTTTTTAGTGTCATGTAAAAAAGCGTCCGTCTCTCATGCCATGCATAGCAGGCTATATTATTGATTTCGCCTACCCATCACCGATTTATGCCTTCAGAAGGAGCAGATTTCCTGACCCACACTGTTAAATTAAACATGAAATCTTTATGAGCTAAAACCCGTCACCACCACGCGCTCTCAGCCGAACAAATGCATGAAGCGTAAACATAGCTTGCATACAATTTTGTTGTTGTTGTTGTTGTTGTTTATTTTACTTCGCAGATTCTAACGGGCAAGTTGCCCAATAACAAGAAAGCGAAGGCAAAGAAAATAATACTAATAAAAGAAATAACCGGGGGCAGCAGAAAATGAATAATAGCTTTAAGAACTCAGATGGTGAGCCAAGGAACAAATTTCCATGTTACAAATAATCGCTTTTAAAAGTAAAAAAAAAAGAGCGGGTGATACAGCAGACTTCCTATTCTGAATTCCCTGAACCAAGCAGAGACATTAGCTGGGTGCATGTCACTATTACACAGTAGCAAGAGAGCTACCTTGGTCGACATCAGTGGACGTGGACTACGAGTGGATGCGACAGCAACAGTGACTGGAATAATGGGTGATACGTTTCATGGAGCGAGCGTATGTGGGATGACTGACATCTTGAACACACTGCGTTGGGGGATGGTGCGGATGTCGCTGGGTAGTGCGTTCCACAGCTTGGGAGCGGCAACAGAGAACCTAGCCTGACCAGCGCGGCTTGCGGCGGGTGGCATGTGCGCTCCGATGTCCTTCAGCGAAAAACTTAGCGAGTTTTCGATAAGTCCCGTTTTGGGCCAATTTTTCGGCCGGCCTATTTGGGGAAGCCTATCCAAGACTCTCGCAACTACATTGGACATGTATGTCATTCGTGTACTTCAAAGTACTATAGCTATGGGACCACCAGATTGAGGTTTTGAAATACAATCCACACACCACAAACAAAGCCAGTCGAGACAGCTCGAAGCAGTGAATGCCAAATGCTGCGGTCTGACGATCGCTGAAATGCGTGAAACTTTAAGTTACAGCTATAAAGCTTTTCACCTCCATTGTATATGTACACATCAAATGTATGCCACTGTTCAATCAGGTTGCACAGCCTTTCGTTTGCAATTACGAGCCTATTTCCATGCATGATAATTTCCAGTTGGCATATGACAGAGGCACATTATGCAACTACTTCTCACGCACATAATGCCGTTGTTTCTTCTTTTTTTTCTTTTCCTTTTGGCTTATCATGTTTTATCGGCAACCCAGAAGATGTTTATGAAAACATACTCATGTCCAGTCTGTACAGATAGCACCTCCAGCGGGTCAGTGACCACATATTTTACATTGGGCCCAATTAGCTTTTCTGCAAACCAAATGAATGCAAATGCAGTAATTTGACCACACACAAAGCACTTTACATCTGCGCCTTTGATCCTAGAGGGAGGTGGCGTTCCCACGCCGGATGCGGAAAACTCGGCTTCCAGCCGAGTCTCACGCGAACCGTGAAATTTTATTTTTTAAAGCACTTTGCACGCAGTATAAATCTTGCTACAAAAACATAACCATCCTCTCATTGGATAGGCGAAGAGAACTCACTGGTGACGTACCTGAACAGTTGACGTCGTAATTACCTGCCAAACATGGACAATTGTAGGACCCATTCGTGTTTGCACAAGCACGATTCTCACTATTGATCTCGCCGCTACACACGTCAGCTTCATCTGTACATTCATTGATGTCTGCAGGGAATATAAGACATGGTCCTACATCAGTACTTGCTATACATGTAAATATACATCGTTTCTTTTAGGAATGAATCATGCTACCTAAACTGTGAATGTCTTGCCAGGTTTAATGAATATAAATTCTCTCTTGCTATGTGTCCCTGGTGTGTGAACCTGCAAGATTGACTAATTTTGTGTCGTCATCACAGATTTATCTATGAAACTATTGTACTTCTATCTCAAAATCTCTTTTGGGTGTGGAATCGCATCAAATGCACAGCTTTGTATTTTAAACACCCACTCTCGGACAAGGCAATTGTGTACCTTCGCATGACAATCCAGAGTAGCCATCGGTGCAAAAACATTGATAAGATCCAATTGTGTTTTGACAATAGCTGCGAGCGGTGCCGTTACTGAAATTACCCTCCTGTCCAATCATCAGAACTCACAATGGGCCAAGCACTGTCATGCAAAGTGCCACTTGTACGTGTACACCGTCTGCATGCTCTATTCCATGACAATACCCCATGCATGTACTATTAGCATTATAATCTCGAGATAGCGCAGACCTCCTCCTTTTGCTTGCCGTGAGGCATGCTCGCCATCTTAGTAGTTTTTATTATTTTACTAGGGGAGCCCCAACAGGCTACTGCGTTTTTACTGGGAACCCTAGGTGAAGTTTAACCATATTAATGAACAGAGCAAGAGAGTGGGCCTGTCGACAGTCAGCTGGAATAGAGTTCCATCTGTAACAGCCCAACTAACTTCAGTAGTCATTCTTGGAATCAGCAATGATCCTTGCCATAATGCATTCTTATATACATGAACAAGCACTGATGGACATAACACCTAACAGCAGCAGCGTGATAATAGCAGGTGATAAGTGTATCCTATTCCTAGTGTTAGTAGTAACAGTGAATCTGTTACACCATTCCCCCCTCTCAACTGTCAGAACAGTACCAATTCGAAGGAACAGTTATGGTAACTAATGATCATGCATGGATATGTGGAATGCATGGTAGCCGAAAACAACACTGATTAACTCAAGATCCAGTGCATGTCCTCGGCAAATAACGCCTGGCTGGCAGGGAAGCACTATCCTAATTATGCAGAATGCTACATTTCTATTGCAACACGTAGAAACTAGCAATACAACTGTGGCTGCCAATTAAATAGCAATTTTATGAAAAACGGTCCAGGTAGGTTTTCAGCGGAATAATAGCGTTTCCTGCTTCATCCATCAAGTATTCCTCCGGCTCCCAGGTGGCATCTCGGTAGCCCTTCCATTTCACTAGGTACTGCGTGCGCCGTCCTCTCTTCTTGTGCGACAACACCTTTTCGACAATGTACCGCGTATGGCCATCCGCATCGGTTACGGGTGGAGGTGCCGGCTGAGTACGGCCCGGTATCTCATTGCCATGGTACAGCTTGAGGGCAGCAATATTGAACACTGGATGGGCCCGAATGATTCTTGGAAGAGCTAATCTGTACGCATTCGGGGCCACTTTCTTCTGCACCTTGAACGGCCCATACCACTTGAGCCTTAATTTGTGTGAAGGCCTGTCTCGTTCCTCGGGCGTCAGCAGGAAGTCCCTGAAGACCAATACCTCATCCCCCTCCTTCAGGGCGTCCTCCACCCGTCCTCGATCCGCATACAATGATTGCCGGGCCTGCGCCACCACGATGGCATCCTGTGCCTCACGTAGTGCCTCTACGCGGCCATCCAGCCATGACAGGGGACCATTCGTGTTCATGCCAGCTCCAGCTTTCTGCTTCGTCAATAAGCTTGAGGGAGTAACTGGATGGCATCCATGGTTGAGGAAAAATGGCGTGTTACCTGTTGACGCTTGATCGGCATTGTTGATCGCAAACTCACATAGCGATAGGAGTTCATCCCAATTGTTTTGCCTATGGTTGACGAAAGCTCTAAGCGTATCCTCAATGACACGGTTCACACGCTCAGTCATGTCATCGGTCTGCGGGTGGTTGGCCGTGCTCATTTTTAGCTCCACGCCAAGAATACTGAAAACCTCCTTGAAGAACGCCGACGTGAATCGCGGATCTCGATCACAAACTATCGTTTTGCTCAAGCCATGGGCAGCAAACACATGATCCACGTACAATCGGGCTGCCTCCTTAGAGTCAACATGAACAGTCGTCGGGATCAGGTGAACATACTTCGTCAGACGGTCCACAAAGGTTAGAATGGCGCTATGTCCTCGGCAGGTCAGCGGCAGTGCCATGATGAAATCCATGCTGATGTCTGTCCAGGGCTGTTCGGGGACTGGAAGGGACTGCAACAGTCCTGCCTTGGTCTGGCTACCCTTTACGCGTTGGCACCGGTCGCAAGATTTAACGAAGTCCTTCACAGTACTTCTCATGCCTGGCCAATAGAAGTATCTGCTCAGCTTCAGGTAGGTCCTGTCTCTCCCCGGATGGCCGGCCGTCAGGCAATCATGATTCTGTTTGAGCAGTTGCAGCCGTACCGGACCGCGAGGAATGCAGAGGCGAGCATCGCCCGATGTTACTAGGTACAGCCGCCGGTCCACACTGTTCCAGACGTATCGCTCATGCATGGCGTCTTCGCTGCAAGCCATCAAGCGCTTGATTACTGGCGCAAGCTCTGGGTCACTATCATACCCTGCTGAGATCTGATTCGCAATTCCTTGATTCACATCCAGAGAGAACTCGATTCCATTCAGTTCCAAGTCTGGTCGACGTGACAACGGGTCTGCTATGTTACACTTCCCTGGCTTGTGATGTACCGTGTAGTCATAGTCGGCCAGGAATTCAATCCATCGAGCCTCTCTCTTGGTTAAGTTTGGTTTGGTCCTAAGGTAGACAACTCCCATGTTGTCGGTGTAGAGTTGAAAGTGGCGAAATAGGTAGACTCGCCAGCACTGCAGGGCGTACACTACAGCCAAAGTTTCTCGCTCGGCGGCCGTGTAATTCCGTTCGGCAGAAGACAGCTTTCGGCTCCCGTAAGCCACAGGATGCCAGGACTGGTCCTCTGCTTGCTGCGTTAAGACTCCTGCCACAGCAAAGTCATTTGCGTCAGTCTCGACGCGGAAATCCTGACTGACGTTTGCTAGTCGCAACACTGGTGCATCCAGCAGAGCAGACTTCAATCGCTCAAATGCCTCCTGTCGAGTCTGATTCCACTCGAAGCGCACATGTTTCCCTGTCAGTTCCTCCAGGGGTTTGGAGATGGCCGAGAAATGGTTAATGAACCTTCGCAAGTAATTAGCGAATCCCAGAAACTGTCTTACGTGCGTGACCGTCGTCGGGACAGGCCAGTTATGCACGGCCTTGATCTTCTCTGGATCTGGAGAAATGCATTGGCCGTCTATCCGGTGCCCAAGAAACAGAACGTCTGTCCGGCCGAATTCACATTTAGACGGTTTGCAATATAGCTCATTCCTCCTGAGGGCGTTTAAGATGGTTCTGACATGATCGAGGTGCTCCTCCCATGATTTGCTGAATATGAGGATATCGTCTAGAAACACCACAACGAATTTACGCAGGTATGGCTGGAGGACACTGTTCATCAAGGTTTGGAATGTTGCCGGGGCATTTGTTAGGCCGAAACCCATCACTGTGAACTGAAAGTGACCGAATGGGGTATTTATTGCTGTCTTCGGAATATCTGTTTCTTCTATTCGAATCTGATTGTAACGGGACCTCAGATCTAGCTTGGTGAAATACGCACTGCCTTGGACGGTATCAAAGAGGTTGTCAATATTCGGTAAACCGGGCCGTACACTTCTCCCAGCTTGCTCTTCAGGTCTGGCCAGTCGGAAAACAGCGTGTTTGCCTCCTGAGAGGCGATAAACCAAAGACGAGCGTTGCCCTCCAGAAAATTCGCCGCGTAGCTCAAGCGCTTCTCCGCGTTGTCCAGCTGCAGGGACTTCATGGCGAGTTCGATGGCGAAGGCCCACTCCTTGAACTCTCTTGTATCTCCACGAAACACAGGCGGAGACTTAACATGGCGCATGCGTGGCCTCTCTCCGCTGGGAGCTTGAGCACGTCTTGGCGTTTGATCTGATCCATCGCACTGACCGAGTGCGATAAGGTGATTCAGACGCTTCTGAATCTCGAATATACCGTAGGCGACTAATGCGGCCACTGCGCATAGCCCGAACATGACGAAAAGAAAAACCATCCTCTTGCTACCAGTGTAACAGTCCAACTAACTTCAGTAGTCATTCTTGGAATCAGCAATGATCCTTGCCATAATGCATTCTTTTATACATGAACAAGCACTGATGGACATAACACCTAACAGCAGCAGCGTGATAATAGCAGGTGATAAGTGTATCCTATTCCTAGTGTTAGTAGTAACAGTGAATCTGTTACATCATCTGCCTGCCGCCAGAAAAGAAATAGAGCACATGCCGTGCTGCGTATAAACGAGTGGGAGAACTAAAGCTCTTTGTGCCTTGCCCAGGGTGCATGCCTGGTGACCAGGTGCCGTTGCCCGAAGCTGGTACAAAGACTGAAGAAGAGGACTAGCAAGATGCTGGGCTACGCAGCGGTACACAAAAACATAGAGCTTGAGGCTAATACGCTGTTCCAAAGAATAGAGGTGATATAAGCGAAGAACTAGTTCAGTGGGTGTGGTACGATCGAGTCCAAACACTCTCCTCATTGCTGTGACTAATTGTCACAAACCTATTGTACAAAGTTGTGCTTAAACAATGTAAATTTGAACTCGGATGATGAGCCAATATAATGTAGTTATGATGAAGAAAGGAAAAGGACAAAATGTTACGAGTCCTTGTCAGTTTTGTGCCATTTTGTTTGTCATAACTCGTAACATTGTGTCCTTTTCCCTTCTTCATTAAACAATTTAGTTAAGCATTACTGGCATAGTCTAGGGTAGACTGGATAATAGACAAGTAGAATGTTCCCTTTGCATCAGTTGTTAAATTTCTACGGCCATGTCGGAAAGCAGCAACTTTAGCAAAAACTGAGTTACACGATTTCTAGACCTGTGGATGGAAGGTGAGATGGTCGTCTATCAATAAACCAAGGTATTTGGCAGTGCTCGTAGGGGTAATAGCCTTTCCTTAACAGGTTAAGGGCCGTGGCAACTGCGTTGCTGGCAGGCGTGACCGCTGCAGGATTAGAAATTGCGTCTTGTCGGGGTTCATGATGAGCCCCTTCAGATCTAAATGGACCTCCAGGGCAGTTAGATCGTACTGGAGATCCTGTAACATAGCAGGAAGGTCCAGTCCGATGATGAAGAAGGCAATGTCATCAGCATAGAGTTGTGACACGCTGTGCTTGAAAATTTCCGGCACCTTTCGAATATAAATGCAAAAGGGCAGGGGACCGAGGATCGACCCTTGCGGGTACAAGGCACAGTCCCACCATGCTCACCATGCTCGCCATTGACTATGACCTGTTGACTGCGGCATGATAGATAATCTGCAAACCACTGCAATACAGTGCCCCGTAACCCAACATTAGCTAGCTCATGGACTAGCTGCTGATGTTGAACGCGGTCAAATTCCTTACACAGTGGTGCGGTGGTAGTAGACTTTACAATGGCTCGGCCAGATAAGTTGTTTAGTCGGGACCACTATCCACGGGGATCACGCTTCATATTTCTTAGCTTATATTATCAGTACTGTCCTATTTTTAAATGAGCTTGTAGCTAGGTGGGGTGCACGTTTTTCATAAACAATTATGATTGATTATGCTCAAACATGTACTTCGAAGTAGAGAACCACAATACATAATGTGTTGCTACTCTTGTACCTTGACACTGAGGTCCGGCAAAGCCTCTTCTGCACCGGCATTCAAATGATCCTTCAGTGTTTGTACAATTGCTATTCTCAACATCAATGCAGACGTCCTTGTTCGTCTTGCATTCGTCAATGTCTGTAGAAAATAAAGAAAAGCAATGTCATTTAAAATTGCTCTGTGAAATACGCTAGACAGCTGGATAATATGAATCGACATTTGTCACATCTTTTCTAAATCAATCTACATGTACTAAGGACCTGGTCACACGGAGGAAAATGTGGAAAAAATCCGTGGTTTCCATGGATATTAATTTTGTCGCTAAACGGGAAATTTGAGCACTATCATACTAACTGATGGCCTAACTCTTTCTTCTTTTGAAAAAGGTGTCAGCACCAACTCAATCCACACAGTCAAGTAAAGCCAAATTAGGACTGGAACGTTTCGTCCCTTTTCATCATGGGTGTTAGTACTGGGAATATTGGAGAAATGTCAAAATACAGCAACTTATAGAGCTACAGCAAAAGCATACGTCCTCGCTCTATAAGTTGCTATATTTTGACATGTTTTCATTATTCTCTGTACTTAACCAGAAGGAGAAGGGAACGAAAACGTTCGTTTGCTAAACTGGCTTTACTTGACTGCGTGGATTGCGTCGGTGCTGACACTTTTTTCGAAATTGGATACGCCGCAAATATTTTAATTCTTCTTTCTTTCTTGTTCCCCCCCCCCCCCCCCCACTGGTGCTCGTAGTGTGCAAGTATACCGAGACCTTTGGTCGGGGGGGGGGGGTCCACAATGCCCACCTGCACAGCTGCGCTAGTGGATACTAGTAGTCAGCCCTGATACAATAGTTGTTTTTTCTGCCAACACTTACGTTCTGTGTTCTAGTCGTTTCTTCGTTCTCCCTGCGACTTTGTTATCATTCTTGTCATTATTTTTTGTCTCGAGCCGGGTTTGTGTTCTTTGTAAACAATAAATAAAGAGTCCACTCAATGAAAATCAGCTCGAGGATGTGCTTTTCCGCAGAAGACTATTATCATCCGCAGCTTCCACGGCAGTTGTTTGGGTTTCCTTGTTTTGCTATTGCTTTCATGAAGTGGAGCGACACTCTAAAGCCTGCGCTGATGCAGCTCTGGCCAAGGAATGGGGCTGACTGACTGGCAGAAACGATCGGTTACGAAACAATTATCATAGCTCGTGTGGTAGAGATTGTTTTCATCGTACAAGTCCAGTGTGACCCTTTTGAAAAATACAACAAAATTATTCACGGTGTATAATCTGAGGACTGTTCCCTCAGTGTGACCGGCCTGAGGCATTCATTTTGAAATGCGAACTTGGAGGCTTGTAGTACACGTTAAATAGGAGGAAATAGAGTACCATAAAATGCAATCCGGATATCTTGGAACGTCTTTCTTCAATATTGTCCATCTGTTGCTGTCTTACCTGAACAATGTTCATCATACTTTCCTTCCACACATGGACATTGGTAGGATCCGTTTGTATTTCGGCAGATACGGTTCTCACTATTCAGTAATCCGCTGCACACCTGATCCCCATACATACATTCATCAATGTCTAACAAACACGGAAAACACAAGGTTCGGGCGTCAGTTCTGTGCATTTTAGAGAAAATACCTATAATACCTGATTCCAGGTTTATTTCCTTACTTTTGGCATTTCCAATTTGTACTACATAGACACGGGACGCAAGACACTGTTGTCCCCTGGGGTTGACCACTTACTATCATCACAACTTCCAACCAAGAACCACATTATTATTATTATTATCATGATGTTTTGAATGTGATGGTATGGGCGTTGGGGCGAAGAGCGAGTCAGTGTGGACCGACATGGAAAGAAGGAAGAGCACCAAAAGAAGTTTTGTTCCTTTACATTTGAATGATTTTCCGGCATTGAGAACATGAATCCCTTAGCCTTGGTGCCTGACTGAGCACGTGCTGAGCGCGATGTGCACGATACCATCGGTTCAATCTAGATTTTGCAATCGAAACCCCACTGCCTTCTCTGTAGACATCGATAAGTCAGCTGGTCTCTGTAAATAAAATTAGGCAAGCATCAGGGTCTCAGAGATGCATGCGACCAGCTCTGTGCTCAAGTACAGGATGTACTGGCTGCAGAAATCCACCACGGGAACCATCAAATTATTACTAACCTTGGCATGTTCCGGCAGCCTGTGTAAACGAGGAGTAGCATATACAGGAGTAGGAACCATAGTTGTTGAAACATTGGCCAGAATCAACTCCACTGTAAGGATTGCATGGATGTGGAGTTTCTGTACATTCATTTACATCTATAGAAGTACCGATATTATAGGTATATGCAAGCATTAACAGGATAGTGAACACTTCGTCGCAACTCAGAGTTTCAGAGTTTCTTGAGACGATCACCGCTCACACCTATCCGCATTTTTAAGCCCAGCTGCCTTCGTGATCTCGGCACCTATGCCCGCGACAGAAAACAATGGAGTAACATCTGCTCAGCCAGTAAGTCAAGTACTGCTCTTCTTAAATTTGACCTTTATTACAAGACTCTTCTTTTCTTTTTCATTTCGTTCTCCCACTCTCACACACACATGCTCACAGTTAATTCTGCCGTCGTGAGTCCCATTCGGGACTGTTACGAAAATAATAATAATCACCGCTGCTTTTCCCTGTCAGAGTAAATAACACACTTTTTGTTTTGCAGCGTCGGGAGTTGTGTTGGAGTAGAAATGTCTGACTAGACGTCGCGACGTGCCTGCTTTCCTGATCAGGTATGAGGTTGGACGTATTTCAGCATGGTGGAGTGGAAAAATTCGAAAATGTTAATTTCAAGGAAACCCAATGCTGTAGACAGCAACATTTTTTGGCCATGCATGCCTCACCAGTACATCTACGAGCTTTAAGTAAGCTAAGCTACCAGTCGGTGGCTAGTTGAGTACGTAGCCCTTTTATCATCGCTTGTAAATTGGCTTTTTCAAAACGATTATTTGTCAGGGGCGATGGCTCTCGTCCTCTGGGATGCTTGCGTGGCTAAGCGGTACTTCGTCAGGACCTCCTCCAAGGTGAGGTAATGTTGGCTTGATGGAAGTTTGTTCTTAGCTTGTTCGTGTACGCTTTGCCTGTTTGTAGACCAATATCTTATGTGATGTTCCGACCATATCTGAGGGGTATGCCAGTTTCATGCTTGAGAAACGTTGTCAAGGGCTTGACACAGTCGGTCTGCACGTATTCTGAATTACCTGCAATATTTGGGCGAAATCGGAGAGATCAACTTGAGCACATTGTCTGGTTTTCTCAGACATAGTCTCTTAAAATGTCCCAAACAGAAGGATCATTTTTTCCTTTTTTACTATTCTGCTGTTGAAAAGTTACAAAATTCCGCTGTTGCACGCGTATTAGCACCTCATTGACCAAGCTCGTTCCTCATTGTTCATTCCATTTGGCCTAAGCGAAGACTAGCCAAGCTTGCTTGGCGTGACAACGCGAATAGGTTGATGATACTATAAATAATAATAATAAACAGAAGGACGAACAGTTGCGATGTCGTAACTCTGAGTTTAAAGAATGTAATCGATCATTCGATGTCCTAAGAAGAAGATCCGAGTCAGTTCATGTGACTCAGAGTTACGAAATCGCAAATGTTCGTCCTTCTGCTTGTGTATTACGCTCTTTGCCTTCTGTAAATCGCGCCCTCTAAGAACGGTGCATGAACCCCACACAGTTGACATGTCATCATGTTCCGTCCATGAAGTTAACCATTAGCTTCATCATTTCTACTGAAGGGTGGGACGCGAAATTGAAGACTCTGGAATACGATCATCTTCAAACGTACATTGTAGATTACAATAATAATAACACAGATACGCGTACAACATGCCCAGCCGTGCTATACATGCTTCCGCTGCTGTTCTCTAGCTCTGTCCATTATGTATGTTAATATCCGGCAGTTGTGGTGACTCCTTCAGATTATCTGCCGCCATCCATTGCGATCCGCAGCAAACTGTCTTAGGTCGTCCAGATGGATTGGGCTCGGGAGGCCCGGCTTGCCTCTGCTGAAATTATAATAGTGTACCTATGTCTGGACTCATACCGTTCATTTCTCTTTATAATTCAACGCAGGAAAATGGGACAATGATTTGTAAAAAGAACTTACCCTCGCAAACCAGAGATATGAATGGCTCAGTACCGACCAGGTGTGTGTGACATCTATTTCGGTTCCTTATTGCAACACTGATACGGGTACGTCTCACAATGGGTAGTGCTATCCTTAGTTCATCGTACCACTTCACTCCATTTGCACCATGATGCGGCACATGAGAAAGACGTACAAGCCGCCAACGTGACCACACCTCTCCATTGTGTTCTCGACGATGTACAGTGAAGATACACATACCTAATGACGTGAGCGAAATCTTACGAGCTACCAAGTTGCAATTTTCAGGATACTCGAAAACTACTGTGTATGGTGTGCTGGACGACAGCGGCGTTCGCGGTAGGCTTCTAGTAGCATTAACAGTAGCAGTAGCAGTAGCAGTAGTGTAAGAGTCGTAACTCTGAAGAACACTGCCATCGTTTGTAACCAGTTCAGTGTATCGATTGACGGCTCCACATGATGGTTCTTGGGCAGAAGTTGAGTACATCCGGCACATTGAGGGCAGTAAGCAGAATAGTATACTGGTTCTGAATGGATCTGTAATCAATAGGAAGATATTCACACAATATGATCGGTTGCTTTGCTGAGCGAAATACCACTGGTCAGTGGAACATTTATGAACCTTCTACAGTTCGCAGTGCCTTGATTTTGGATTTAGAAACCAGCGCTGGGAACGTTGTCTTTCTGTCTGTTGACTGTACTTGATCACAGAGCTGTTTTCGTGACTTGCAATGTGTTATGAAAGAAATCATTGGACTCTGAGGGAATACCGGTTCAGATAATGAAGAAATTCACTCTCTCAAAATTCCGGTACAGAGTTTGGTGCCATGGTGCTTTCTCCCTTCTTTCCAGCCCTGCTCTACTGCACACGCTGGGATTTTCCTTTGCTGGCTGAATAGCGCTTCACGAGATTTAGCTGAGGTTTTCGCCCCTAACGTACTACTTGTACGAGTATGTTCGCTGAACCAGTAGCACTGCACCACCACTGCCACGATTCAGGTTTTGCGTGCTTCCCCTAGCTGCATCTCATGTTTGGCATTTAGTGGTCTTTGTAAAAACAAAAAACAAAAACAAAAAACTACCCTATTCCCACACGTACACTTCAGAACATACCGAGTGACGTACAAACCAGCACGAAATATTTACCTAAGTCGGCTCGCAAAAACTCCAGTATTAAATATAGCTGTCTGAGGTTTCCTCAAATGCGTGGACCAATTTCAAGTAAAATCTTCCAACAGCCCTCAGCCTCCAGTGTACGTGAAGCAATAATATTCAAGAGAGGTGACCATCTTTTCTGGGAACAATGCCATCTGCGGCCATGCTCTTGTGTAGAATAGGTAGGAATGCACCAATTCTTCTCAGCCTCCAGTCATTTCAAGGATCAAACCCGTCCAACATTATGTTTACTACGTCGTGTACGTATTCAGAACAAGACTCGGTGTGAATATGTCTTCCCAGTCTACTTTACGATTGAACTATACATGTACGGGCGGCAGCACCATTTTTTGGCTCCCGAAAAGCGGCCTTTTTGTCATTTCCTGGGCTTTAGGCCACCGGAAAAGTCCTTTATTTAGTAATAAAATGGCTAATAAGCCCGCTGCTGAAGTGGACATTGCAGTCCTGATCGACGGGGAGCTGAGGGACCTCATCAGGCAGCGTGGACTGGAAATCCCACGAAAAGCCACCAGACCCGATCTTGTTGCCCTGCTCAGAACATCGCTGGATGAGGACAAAGAAGTAAGTGAACCTACTAGCACGAGCCCCCTGGCTGCTAATGAGGGTGTTGTTGCCAGCCTGTGCTCAGCTCTGTCTGAACTCACTAATGTCGTCCGAGAGTTGAAGACTGAGTTACACGCCATGAGAGAAATAGAAGGTAAATTCAACGATTCTGCCAGAGAGGTGTTGTGCCTGAAGACGGAAGTACGGGAACTTAGGAACGACCTGCATGCAAAAGTTGAGAGGTACGATACGGTGATTCAAACTTTGAACAATGACCCCACTGAACCAAGCTTTACCAAAACCGTATCCTTGACCCCACAACATCGACCCACGTATGCAGAAACTTTGCACCAACAACCAGCATTGCAGGCCAAAAATACTGCCCCTGCAGCTGCCCCAGCTGCCCAAAGGCCACAACGCCAGCCTCCCAAGCCGTACAGGCGACAGGAATCGTCTCGCTGGCTGGCACCGAAGCTTCCAAAGAGCACCACCCGATGTACACTAACGGGTAAGCCAAGAGTCAAAGTGTTCTACGTTGGCAACGTGGACCCCGACAGTCCGTGCGCCAAGTTCAAAAAAGTCGTCTAAAAGTTGCACTTTTATTTGCAACCGCGGGAAGTTTGAAGACGAATTTAGTGACATACCGAATTATTCTCAATTTTCGACTATTGGTTACCTCGAGAATACAGGCTTACCCTCCT